GCGAGCGAAAACGCGCGAAACAGTTCCTAAGAACCAAGTTAAGATAATAACTTCATTAAAGGCACTAACACAAAAGAGAGATTTGTTTATCGTTCGACAACTTTTCACACAAGGGTCCGTATAATTTTGAGGGCATATCTCGTATTCAGAGTTCGCATCGATTTTAATACCACAATTGTGATTGTCTACACTAAAATAGTGCTTTACCTCAAATATATAGTCAAAAGGTGCGTGATCTCAATGCATTTCGAACATATTTAGCTGGCTTTGAATTCAATTCAATTAGCACTCCAATCTTTGTTGAGAATTAAAAAATATGATTATATTCCATCGAGAGTAATCAATTCAAACAAGAAAAAATAAAAACATGAGAGATTTATAGAGATTTGCTTCAATGTGAGACTATATCGTCTTTCGTCGCTACAGTAATTCACTAGGATGAAAAGAAATTCACAAAAAATAAAAAAAATTGCATACCCTATCTTCTCTAATCTCTTCTTTCCTTTTTATGATGGTAATACAATCCTAATGATGAATTCCTATTTATAAGAAAAACTAGGTCAAAATCAAAATTTACAAGGAAACAAATTCCTCCCCGGCCCTTCAACCTCACGATGACGTTTGACCTCATCGTGGAGGTCGATTCGTGTACTGACTTCGCACAGCGACAATAATTAAGCTCAATAACTTAACAACCATAACCACAACTCATCCACTTATTTTTTAACATCAGACCAAACCTCCAATCAAGTATCACTCAGGTACACCATTCCAGTTTTATTACTACAGCATTCTTTTGCCAAAAAAGAGAGTAGAACATTACATCAGTTAGATTTTATGGGAACCCACGAGTGCTGAAGTGATGAAACCTAGTCCTAGTGATGCATCTATGAATGGGAAAGCCTAAAGCAAACATTGAGAATAATAAAGCCCTTAATAAAATAGAGAATTCTTATTCCACCATCTTTCGAACCTTTGCGTAAAAGGGAATTTGTCTTAACTTTTAATAACAGAATTTAAACCTCAAATTTGTTTTTAATTGCAGTCCAATTGTCTTACGCATGATGTCTTTTTTTTTCTTAAACAAATGTATCCAAAACAGCAACTAATTATTCTTAAAAAAAAAAAAAGAAAAACCCTATTTGATGTTTTTTTCACTCTTACAAAAGTTGAAAGCTTTGTTGTAAAGTAATGTATCAAAATTTCCACACCATAAAGTAGCTTTCTTTCTTCTTCCACTTTTGAGGAGGAATAAAAAAAAATCAATGCGATATGCCTTTTCATTGAAGTATGCTTAACCAATAACAATATTTTCACGTCAAATCAACCTTTTGCTGTCTAGTAGTTTCCTTTTAATAATGATGACACAATTCTCGTATATGTGAAAAGGGAGACCGATGGTTATCTTTTGCTTAATTTCTTTTTCCATCAACAAAGCAAAGCCACTTTCCAATATATTCAATGAAGGAGGCGGGGTGGGGTGGGGTGGGGTGGGGTGGGAGGAAGACTTAAAGTCTACTTTCTTTGATTACAAGAAGCTACTAAAACCTTTTTTGGGTGGGATGGGGGTGGGGTCGTTATGAAGGGGTGTAACTAACACGTCTGAATCGAGCTTTTAAAAAGGAAGTGCAGTTTGAAAGTTTTACGCGACTAAAATGTTCTTACGGTAGTTGTTTTTAAAGTTTCCAACGGTTAAAATAATAGTGATCATTTGGTTGAAAACGTTAACCTAATGCCATTATTAAATGCCAATCTAAACACAAACGATGTTAACTACTTGAATAATGTTATTCATCCTCAATGGGGATGAAAATACAATCTATTTGTATTTAAATGATATGTTAAATGAAAGGTGAAATTAAATGACTTATTTAATTTCACCTAACATTCAATGCCACATTAACGTCACGTAGACTGTGTTTTCATCCCCAATGCCGATGAATAGCACTACTCTAACTACTTAGGCCACATCGACCAAATTCTTGAACTTAATTAATACCATATACCGTATGAATATAGTGATTTTACCTTGAAATTTGCTACATCCTAAGAATTGACAACCTGGATTAGCTTTAGTCGACAAAGTCTTCATCACACAGCTTGCCCCGCTGTGTCATCCGGAAACAACAAAGGCTTGAGAACCTATTTCCATTTCTTTTGAAACTATAGAAGCTTAAATTATTAAAAATGGACAAATTTGAGAAGAATATTATGAGAAAACTATATCAGTACCAATTGGAGAAATTGTGAACAAAATGTGGGAATTAGGGTAACAAATGAAACTGGGGAGGAAATATGGGATTTGATAATATTTTAAATGGTTAGGTTTAGTATTACTTTAAATTGTTTTCGACTTAAACCTTAATCCACACAACGCTTTTTTTAACAACGATTTTGTCTTGTGAATCGTAATAAATAATGTCGTTCGATAAAAATGGCGCTTAACGGCGTCAACAAAAGATTTAATAATAATATTTTTAACTAAGTAATCGTTAGAAACTTAAGTAATTATTTTGTATAAATTTTACTCCATTGAAATTAACTTTAATCTAACTTATTTTCCTCTTAAATTAAGATGAACAAATTTCGAATGAATCCAAAATCAAAATGTGTTAGTCCAACACATTTATGACCTTTAGGTATAGGTGGGTGGTTTAAAGAGGTGGGGTCTCATATCCACGTGTTTGCTTAAAGTTTGACCTTGATGGCATGATTAGGTAAATACATACACATACACATACACATATACATATATTTAATTATATGTTCATGGCATTCACAAAGTGAAAGTGGGGTTTAACTTGCAGTGGGAAAAGAGTAATGGGTCCTTTGTCTCATAATATTCCATCAATGAGCCTTTGAGGGAAGTTTTCATTATCATAAAATGATCGATTGCAAATTTGAACTTAAAGGGAAAGGGGCCTCTTGGGATTATTATATGTGGAATTAGTCCACTTTGGAGAGTGAAAAGGGGAGATCCTTGTGTTTAACTTTACCAAATCTTTACAAAATGGGGTCTGATAATAATGTTTATCTATTATTGGTTTGAGTTGAATGGCATGAAAAGGCCACCAACTAGAGGAAACAACTTTTCCCCTACATAGGAGCAAAAGCTTCTCTTTTGATTAAGTTAAATGAAAAATTATTGTTGCTCTAAAGATGTAAGGTGCGATTCTTATTGCTTTATTCCTTTTGAGGGATTAATTTTTTCCATCACATATCATCAAGAGTAATTAAATCGTTAAAAGAAAAATATACACATAAGAATATACAAGATTTATAGAATTCCGTTTCAATATGAGACTACATTATCCTCCACCGCTGTAGTAATTAGCTATGATAAAAAAAATGTGTATAAGATAAAATTGAATATCTTCTCTCTCTCTCTACAAAGCCCTAATTGAAATTACAAGTATGAAATTTCTAAATTATCCTTAGTAAAATTCCTAATATATCCTTTAAGAGGTCGATCCACGTACTGGTTCCGAACAACGACAATAATTAAGTTTTATATCTTAGAGCTTATTTGAGAGGAATTAAAATTCAATTAAAATTGAAAATATAACCGTTATTGGGTCACACTCGTCTAATAAAAGTTAACAATAACGGTTAATTTTTCAATTTTAATCTCTATCAAACACACTCTCAATAACATTTTATGGGACTCGTCAACTTTTATCAATTTTTGACCCCGTCACACAATCCTTAGTACTCGAGTCTTTATAATTTGGTTTTATTGACTGTCATTAAAATATATTTGGACTAGAGTTCACAACAAAGTAAATTTACTTCTATGTCAAAGGCTAATAATTTTCAACGTAAATCATTTTTATTAGAAAA